GGCCAGCCGGGATAAAGGTCTGAGGGTGCATTTATTTTCTTTCAAGGTTAAAATTTTCTTTTGTGGATATTTTCTCGTTTTTGTTGTGTAAATTTGATATGTCAATAATTGTAACGAATTATTGCTCAGTTTCCGATGAAATATTTGGCTTAGTTTTTTCTGTTTTTCAAGGATGAGGACTTTGGCACAGGCAAAGTTATAGAGACTCACTCAATGCCAGTGCCTAGTTCTTTTTGAAGCGCTTTATCGACACTAGTACAGCGCAGTTTTTACAAAATGATGAGAAGCTGTAATTAATAGCTTGTTTCAAAAACGGTGGCTTGTTTTTGTGTATTTCGGGCATATGCGTCAGTTTTCGGTGTCACTAACTTTGTGATAAAAATTCCGATGCTGTAAATTTGTAAGTGCTCGTTTTTGCTTTTCAATGAAGTTGCAGATATGCCTAGTGTACAGATTGAGATCTTTAAAATGCAAACTCCGTTTTGGCCAGCCTTAAGACAGTAATACTTCGGAAATTTTTTTACTTTTTGAACATTTTTTCGAATCTTTACTAATTTTCTTAGTTCTGCGTCTCGTTTGCAGTTTCATGCTTTCCGTTTTCCTCAGTGCTTAGTTAGCTTTCTCTAGCTGTTTTTTCGTTTGCGTTACAAACGGTAGGAGTGCCGGCAGAAGTCAAAGGTTGTTATAAAAGAATAGTTAGTCACTCGCTGGTTTTGCATAATCTCGGACATAAACCACAAATATTTGTCTGCTAATTCGCACATGCTCGGCCGAGTTAATACGGTTATTATATGAGTGTACGCGTGTGCATGTGATGGCACACAATCCCTTCACGAATATTTCTGTTTTCAGGCCACGGGGAACAGCTCTTGCTCCCGCTCATCAACAATGCACTATGTAACTGGTACTGGCAAAAAAAAAAGCATCTGAAGTAAACTTGAAAAGCGAGGATCACTCGGACTGTCGATTTGGTGATCCAGCAGAAGTGCTGGAATGCACTCACATTTTGCGCATAGCTCCACCATGCTCTTTTCTCCCGAGTTGCAGTACGCTATTTCACTAAGCAATTCTCGGTCTTGCGTTATCAGTAGGAAATTTTGCATGACTGCATTAGAACGAGTAACGACTAGAGCATCCAGAAGTCAGATAACCAAATTTTTATTTTCGAGGAAGAGTATGCTTGACTCGTGCTAGGACTTTTTCTTTGAATTCTTTATTTTTGCTAAAAATTAATATTCTAGTGCTTCTTTTAAAAGATCAAAACAACATATAAAAAAGTTTCGTGCAATTTCTACTCTTATCCTACAAAAAAACATTGAAAGTTTTATCAATGGTCCAAGAAAAAATTATTCCAGGATTCATAAAAAGTCACAATTTTCAAATAACGAAAATCTTAGCTACTCGAAAGCAGAAGGCCATCGTCAGTCTTGCCAGTGGATTATTGTTATTAGTATTTGCTATCAGACTACTTCCCGAGAGCGCCACCTTTCGTAGGGAGTGAATACGAGGAACTTTGATTTTTGATCTTTTTGAAGTACTCATTTTTTTGGAAATCACATGAGATACCTTAATG